GGGTGTCCACTGTCAACCCAGAAGTATTCTAAGAGTGCTGCCATTAGTGGTGCTCTACACAGTAACCCCCAAGACCAGGTCCCCCGACTTGGGAATATCCCAGACAAGAGTCCTCTTGCCCTGAGCCCACACTGGCAAGAAAGGACAAAAAGAAAAAGGAAACAGAAAAGCCCCTGACCCGGCTTGCCTAGACTCCTCTTTCGGACAGGAATGTAAACTCGAGGCTGGGAAAATATTTCTTGATGTGCTGCTTAATTTTCAACTATATGGAATAGCCTGAACAAAAACTTTCCGGTCAAATTAAAAACAGAACAGGAGCTAAAGGCAAAAGTTTATCACAGCTGGATTAGAAGAATGCTAAACCCTGGGCATTTTGATCGGAAATAACAGTATCAGATTCCAGTGGGTTTTGTATCAGAGATACCCAGGCCTGAGCCAGCTCTCGGGATTAGAAGCAGCTGCCTTTTGGATTAATGAAAAACCAGAGATGTTTATGATGGCTAAAAACAATATTTAATCCCATCACCTGTGTTTTATCATTGGGCTGTAAAGAGGTTGGCAAGATGGCCCTCCTGGCTGGCATTAAAAATGATACTTAATCACAAGAAAGGAAAATGATTATGAATTAACTATACACACTTTGTTTTTGAGTAGCCACTACAATAGGAGGCAGTCTTGAGACCAGGATCATTTTAATTCTAAAGAGAAAGAAGAAAACCTCCTTTGATCTTTCACTGCTGGCTCACACAGTCTCATTTACCGGCAGTTACATCCCCTGATGCTGACAGAGGAGCAGGTGTGAGCTGGCCACTGAGGAGCAGTTCCCAAAAGTGACTGCAGGAGCCTGCAACTTTATCACTGGGATTTAGCCTGCAGTTGCCAAGGCAACAGGCAGCCTTGCTCAGCCCCTGGCAGGACTGTGAAGCCACCCAAAGCTCACATTGGTATTTTTCCTCCTGCCTGCCAGCTGCCTGGGCTGGATGAATCATCTCTGCACTAGGGTGGGCCCCCATGGCCTTGAGGGCCCCTTCCCAGGTAGGCCTGCCTCTGCTGTGAACTGTTTGCTCCCAGCTACCCACTGCACCGGGACGCCAGTCTCCTGGGCACATTTAAGATACCCCAAGCCGGCTCGGCGCCTATAGCTCAACCGGCTAAGGCGCCAGCCACATACACCTAAGGTGGTGGGTTTGAATCCCCAGCCTGGACTCGCCAAACAACAATGACGGCTGCAACCAAAAAATAGCCGGGCGCTGTGGCGGGCGCCTGTGGTCCCAGCTACTTGGGAGGCGGAGGCAGGAGACTCGCTTGAGCCCAGGAGTTGGAGGTTGCTGTGAGCTGTAATGCCACGACACTCTACCCAGGGGGACAGCTGGAGGCTCTGTCTCAAAAAAAAAAGCTACCCCAAGCCAGACCTCTGTTTATCTATTTGAAATCTGTACTCATGAAGAGCCAGGAAAGCATCAGGTGAACTTAAATCTCACCCATTTTAAGAAACAACACAGCTCGGCGCCCGTAGCTCAGTGGTTAGGGTGCCGGCTACAGACACCAGGGGCCGGTGGGTTTGAACCCGGCCCCGGACTGCTAAACAACAACAAAAAACTAGCTGGGCATTGTGGCAGGTGCCTGTAGTCCCAGCTACTTGGGAGGCTGAGGCAAGAGAATTGCTTAAGACCAAGAGTTTGAGGTTGCTGTGAGTTGGGATGCCATAGACGACATAATGAGACTCTGTCTCCAAAAAACAAAAAAAAATGACATCACTTTTAACTTGGGAGTAGAGACCCAAAAGTATTTGGAGGGGTAGTCTTTAAAACCTTTCCATAGTCTGATGAAGCCAAGAGGCAGGAGGCTTTGGAGTCGGATTGTGGCTCCACCTCTTCTAAGCAGTGTGACCCTAGATAGAGATTTCACTTAAAAACAGTTCCAAAGCACATCAGGCAATTATCATAAATAGAAGCACGGTTTTTAGAGGAAGGAAAGGAATAAGGATTTCTCTGGATTTAAACAGACCAAAAGCCAGCAAGATACTCACTATTAATTGAATTTTCTTCAACTTATGAGTCAATCAGAAACCATTCTGCATATGGTAAGACTGGATATGGGTCTTACCTGTTTTATACAAGTAAAAGGAGGTATCACTTATCAAATCCAAACCTATCCCTTCCCCTTCAGTATTGGGAGAAAACCCCTCTCTTCCCCTTCATGTATGGGGGGAAAAGGCCTTAGGAATAATGTAGTTAGCATTTAATGAGTGTTAGATGTATATACAAGAAAGAGAAAGGAAAGCCAGGGGCCTGGTGGGCACAGAATGTCTGATCTCACACTGCCTTTCCTGTCCTCTGGCCCTGGGGCAGTCCAGTGGAGGCCTCCTCCCAGGCTGGCCTCCTCCACTTCTTCCTCCTTCCCCCTTAATCTTCTAGAACACAGTGTATGCTTCACTGTTCTACTCAACATCCTTCCACGGCCTCCTACTGCCTTCAGGCTAGGGCCATCCAAAACTCTACATCTGCCTCTCCAAACTCACCTCCTCATTCCTACTTGGAAACCCAAAACCTGGCTGAGCCACTACCTCACTCCCCACCCCCCACCCCTCCCAGTGCTGCACACACTCCTACCTCCCAGTCTCTGTTCACGCCCTTCCTTCTACCTGGGCTACCATTCCCACTCCTCCTGGTTTGTCCAAATTTTATCCTTTCTTCAAAGCTGACTCCAAGTCCACCTTCCTCTAGAGCAGTGATTTTCAACCAGTGTGCCATGAAAATTTTTAAAGATCATTATTTTTGAAATACATTCAAAGTATAGTTGGTATACTCTTTTTTTTTTTTTTTTTTTGAGAGACTCTCACTTTGTTGACCCCGGGTAGAATGCCGTGGCATCACAGCCCACAGCAACCTCTAACTCTTGGACTCAAGTGATTCTCTTACCTTAGCCTCCCAAGCAGCTAGAACCACAGGTACCCACCACAACACCCGGCCATCTTTTGTTGCAGTTGTCATTGTTGTTTAGCTGGCCTGGGTTGGGTTGGAAAACCATTGCACTACAGTGCTGAGCCTACTCTTTTTTTTTTTTTTTTTTTTTTTGAGGCAGGGTCTCACTCTGTCATCCTGCGTAGAGTGTCATGACATCAGCTCAACCTCATACTCCTGGGCTTGGGCCATACTCCTGCCTCAGCCTACCGAGTAGCTGGACTTACAGGCACCTTCCACAATACCTGGCTAGTTTTTCTATTTTTAGTAGAGATGGGGTCTTGCTCTTGCTCAGGCTGGTCTCCAACTCCGAGCTCAAGCAATCCTCCTGCCTCAGCCTCCCAGAGTGCTAGGATTACAGGGATGAGCCACCATGCCTTCCCCAGTATGTTCCTTTTTTTAACTTTTGGGTTTTTTTATTAACATAATTTAAGTGTGCTACGGAAGTTTAACTATAGGTTCAAGTGTGCCATGAGATAAAAAAGGTTTGAAAAACACTGCTGTGGGAATTCTCTCATGGTCATTGTCACTCTGGTGGACTTTCCCTCATTACCTGCTTGAACCCTTCACTTGGTATTTAGTATCTGATAATTGTTATTGTTAGTTCTCCACTCTTTAGGTCTGGCCCATCTCCTCCAACAAACCATTCCGTCTCAAGGACAGGGACCACTTCTGATCATTGTGTAGCCTACTGCAATGCTAGGTACATAGCAGGTAGGTACTCATTGTATAGAAGGTACCAAAAAATGCATACACATTTTAAGAAAGGAAAAAATTGTATTAAAATTGTAATACTCAATATATAATACCTATAACAAAGGTATATATTTGAGGCAAGCTCAATGTCACATTGAACATCTCTTGTAATTGCAGCAGTCAAACGTAACTTGAGTATTACAATTTTGTTTATGTATTTATTTTTTGGTTGTAGTTGTCATTGTTGTTTGGCAGGCCTGGGCTGGATTTGAACCCACCAGCTCTGGTGTATGTGGCTGGTACCTTAGCCACTT